ATATTCAAGAGTTATTGTGGGTTCTTTATCAAGAAAACACTTCATATAATTGGTCTAAGTTGGTCTTTGTTTAAACCAAAACATCACAACTACCAATTTCAAACGTGAAAAAGTAAGAAAACATTTCCACTCCACATTTCATGAGGTGTTGTAAACCTACTTATAACATATTACTCAACGTACAAGTTGGAGTAACTTGAGTATAACTCTAAAACTTGATATCGGAACGAAGTATGACTCATCTTCTTGATTTAACCATTTCAACAATACCCGATTCCTCTTCTTAGTCATATAAATGCACTAAGGTGTCCTTAGAGAATCAATTATGACATGGTTCCATAATCATTAGGATGATCATAAAACACGATACTAAAGTACTCTCCTTTCTTTTCAGATTGGAGAAACTTTTATCTTTCTACCTAATGAATTCTTCTTATTCGTTCTGCTATACTTTGAAACATTTTCATGGTATCATAATTATACTTAATCTTATAAGAATAACCATATTTGCCGAACCAATGGTAAATCATGATGAATGGGCCTATCGTCCTTTGTGGTGGATCTGACCAGTCAACATCAATGTGTACTAGATCCTCCAGTCCTTCATTTGACTCACATATACATGTGAACAAGGAATTAGTCTCAATCTTCCAAAGATCAAGATTCTCATACATCACACAATATAAATCGCATGATTCCAAGTTTCTATCCAATTGAAACTTGGGTGATGAGAATCCTTCCTCAGTTGGTAAATTATGACACTACCACAAGCGATATAACTAAGAATCAAATCCATTTTCAACATTGCTAACAATATAAATACAAACACTAATTTTCATAAATGCAATTGCAAGGAAATGTAAAATAAGATAAAATCAAAATTTAATTTATTGATAAAATGCAGAAAACATGTCCTTAAAATGCAAATACATATGAAAACTATGTTTCTAAACACTCCAAAGCAATCTATCGTAACTCCTAAGTAGCAACTCCAAATTCCGATCTTTTGAACCATATGGTTGAAATCCATTTGTTCAGATCAGAATCAGCCTTTACTTCCTATTAAGCTTCCTTTATTTTCTTTGATCCTACAAAACATCAAAATGTGATTAACACATCATGTAATAAGAATCTATAAACAGGAACTTAATAGAGTTAGATAGTGGATATACCTAAAGTAGAGTCATACAATTTGACTTTACCATCTCTAAGATCTCTCAGGTAGTTTGGGCAGCTTCGCTTCCAATGCCCCTTTAATTGGCAGTAGAAACATACTAATTCTTTAGCATCGGCATATGGAACTATCTTAGAACCTACCTTTACCTTATGGTCAAACTTTTTGACTTTGGCTGATTTCTCTCCCTTAGGAGGAGAAACCATTTCTGGACTATCATCGTTGCCATTACTAACATCTATGGAACTTTGGGAAACTGATCCTCCAAACAAATTTTCTTGACCAGTGCATCAAGTCATTGATTCTTCAACAACAATTAGCAAATATGTCAGATCAATAAGGGTCACATTGTGATCTGTCATATAGTAGTCTCTGAGGAACTGACTATATGACTCAGGAAGCGGTTGAAGAACCATGTCGACAGCCAACTTCCTTGGGTAAACGACACCCAACATTCCCAATCTATCAATGTGCGACTTCATCTTCAAGACATGTGCACACATAACTTCCATCTTGGTGTTTGCATGCCAATAGGGCTTGAGTGACCTTGAACTTTTCAAGTCGACGAAAACATGGGTCAGGGAGACTCATTGGAGGAGGTGGAGGAAGTGAAGTATGATTTCCAGTTCCACCATTGCATGAGGAAGGGAACGATCTTTCACCTTGATCGGTACGTGGAAGATCATCTTAAGAAGGAAAACCTTTTCCAAAGGATTTAGGAAGACCATAGTTGTCAGAACTAGACATCTACAAAAGGGAGAAATTCAAGTTAGTTGATTTAATTCTTAGTATAACACCCAAATGAAATATTAAGGCCAGGACCCAACAAAATAATTCATAATTTGATAGAGGGATGTCGTAATCCAATTGTAAATTATTTGAAAGTAGGTAAATGACGATTTACCAATTTCACCATTTGGTCCCTGTGGTTAGCAGAAAATGTGGATAAAGTCCAAAATCTTTTCAAGTTGCACCACTAGTCCAAAATCGTAAACTTTTTGTGGTTTTAGTCCCTGAAAAAGTTGAAACGGCTGTTTTACCCTTTTAATTTATTTTTTACATTTTTAATTTATTTTAATCCTTTTTTATTTTGAAGAAAATAAAAAAATAGAAAAACCAACTCACCCACAATAAGTTTATGATTTTGGACTAGTGGTGCAAGTTGAAAATTTTTTGGATTCTATCCACATTTTTCTGATAACCACTAGGACCAAATTTGCAATTTAGTCAATTTTAAATGAATTAGGTTTTAAATGAAATTTCTAGATCTTTGAGATTCATTGAACTTTTCAATGACATGTTTAATCTTGTTTATCCCCTTCAAATTTATGATTAGGATACCGAGTATCACAAATAATGTGTGAATAATCATGCAAATTAGCTTGAAACTCTCGATGTCATTTATCCTTCTAATCAATGTGTCGGTTAACTACACACGCTCCATTAGTCAACTATAATTTACGAGCTACCCATTTCCATCCTTCATTAGTCCCATATTAGTATGTCGGTTAACCATAGACGCTCCACTAACGACCAATAAGGTGCAATGTGTAATTTCATGGGTTAGCATCAAATTCGTATTTTTCCTAAAGTAACTAAGATTGAGAATTTATAAAAGTGTTTAGTTACTTTATAATTCATTATACTTATAATGATTATTTAGATTCCTATCCTACCCATTCGGCTAACGATCATCCACTAGTCAAGAGTGCGGTGGGTAAGGGTGGATACCCAATGACGGTCATTTTACAGGCCGCTTCCTTAAACACTCATTATAGACCAGGTTCGTGAATGAGGCCTACTAACGGTAAGACTGACTTTTTAATACATATATAATATATTAGAGTTTTAATGCTATATAGTATAAGGGTAAAATTTTAAAATACTAAGTGGTTTAATCCTTTAATAATTTAAACTTTTAATTCAGTTAAATTTAAACCATATTATGGATTTATCAATTCTCTTTTAATTAAACACTTAATTGATTTAATAAAATCCATGAGGATGTCTTTTTTTAACTATTAAAAAATACCAAGGTTCTAAAATTTAAGATTTCAAAATTAAAGCTATTTAATCAAATTTTAAATTATAAAACCAAAGGGTGTATTTTAAAACTTTTCAAAATACTAGGTTAAATTTAAATTAGGAATATAATCTTATCATAATCCACAAATTCAACCAAATCTTTCAATTTTGATAAGGATATCAAGATATCTTTCAGAAAATTCGATTTTAGGCTTTAAAAATGAATTATGACAATTATCCTAATCAAAATTTGATCTGAAAATAATAAAAAAAAGGAAACTGACGAGTCAACTCGTCGAGTTCATGCTCCAGACAGCAAAAATCAATTTTCTTGCTCTTTGGACACTATTGCATCAATTCAATTGAAAATCATCCTAGTCTCGGATACCACTAATGGGTTTTGAGCATATCTACATTCCTATCTGATCATGCAACCCCTAATTGCTTTGGATCTAATTTTTTTCACTAATTCAACATGCAAATAGAACACCAAAGCAATAACCCTAGATCTAGCATACACGATTCAAAATTCATATGAAATTAGGGTTAGAAGATTACCTCACTTGTTATATAGTAATAACAAGATAATCCTTGAAGATCCTTGACTCTTGAAAGCATAGTGCCCCAAGTGTTGCATCTCTAATGGAGTCACAAACACCCAATACAAAGGATGAGAGGAGATACACTTAGAAATCCGCCAGGGTTTCTTTCTTTCAAGCATTGGCCGAAATTTCAAATGCTTAGGGGTCTTTATATAGTTGTGGGCTGCTAGAGTTTCTGGAGGAAACCCTAATTCCTGCTTAAAGCTTAAGCAACCTATGGACTCCTTCTTATGAGGCCTTGGACGAAATCTAGGCCTCCCTATAGGATTTTCGTCCACTCCTAATTAAGGAGTCCAATAGCCCAGTTATGCAACTATCAATGATTTGCAAAACAACCCCTCCATTATTAACCAGTTCCTTTAATCTCAAAATTAATATCAAATTAATTTCTGATTAAATACTAATTAATAATATGATTTCCAAATAAGATATTAATCTTGTGTATGAGGATATCCATTAATTCTCCACTTTTGGATTTAATCAGAGGGGCACATGGGTTATGTGTATGAGGATATCCATTAATTCTCCATTTTTGGATTTAATCAGAGGGGCACATGTAGAAGTAGTCAAGAAGGAGAACTGGAAACAGGAGAGGAACGAGGGGAGATCGACAGATTTGTCACCGATAGTCGGGGATTGTTGACCCTGTGTGGTCGGGTATGAGTTTCGATTTAATAGGGGAAGCAATTACCTTTTTATAATATAAACCTATACTAAAATACAAAGTCCTTTGATAGTCATAAAACTAGCATTAAAATTATAAACGTTATGGTTTAGTTTTAATTTAATGTAAACTAAGGAAGTATCTCCGTTTTGCGGGGGTCATATTTCAAGTCAACTGTTTGCGAAAGGAGTTTACAGTAATGTTTTATTGATTTATTTATTGAAAAAGACATATTATCTAATCGACAATCGTATTTTTGATTACACGTTTATAATTTCCAATCCTTTTAGGGATTGATTTGAATTTCCATCATCGACACTGAAACTGCTAGTCTCCTGAACACCAGGATGCAAAAAGAAAATAAAAGGAATTAAAAAAAAAAATTAGAAAATGAGTACATTAGTGACTTATTTGTTACCTTGTAAAGGACAATTGCTTTATCCACATCAACATCATGTCCAACTTTGTAACCTTCATTGATTGCCATTGCTAAAGACTTTACATGAAACTTAAAGGCTTTGCCACAAACACATAGTCACATGTAAACTAATTCATTGTTTTCTTCAAAACGACCATCATACTCCTCCCTCCTCCCGTGCGACATCCACACTTCCCTGCAACAACCATATACATATACAATCAACTTCACCCACACCCACACCCACATTTACATGCAATTGAAAAAAAATCTTGACCAAAAAAATAGAAAAAATATAACCAATATCAATAAATACTTAACTCTATCTATTAATTTGAAATCTGTAATGCTTAAAATCTAACACTCAAACATGGAAAATAGACAATTCAAACTTTGAAAAATATGTAAATGTTTATGAAATATGAATAAATTTAAACCTTATCATTCCTACATCTTTATAGGTGAAATGTGCTTAAATAAACTACCGATCATCTCAACTCTTGCTGATTGTGCACAAAGAGATGCTCTGTATCATGAAATTTGAGGCCATTTCCTTGAGATGACAACCTAAATGTACATATTAAAAAGACATGATTATTAATTATTATTAAGAATATGGAGAAATTAAGAATGTGGGATAAAAATACAACATCAATTGAGGGAACATCAACACGTCAAGGTAAACCATGGGAGACATCCATTCCAAAGATTCTGGTAGGATTCCTAAATCCTTCATATTTATTTAACGAACCTTAAACACTCATGTTAACTATATTTTCTAGAGCCCAATTCAAACTATCCTATTTATTAACTCATAGACATTCTGTAACAAAATTTAGCGAAAAGAAAACCAACATTATTAAAAAACTTAAGCATCCTTAAGAAGTAATATTTAACAAAAAAAATGACAGATAAAAACCTAGAGTGCTAAAAGGTCATCATTCTAATCATCCTGTAAAAAAGCAACATACTTCAGATAAAAACCTAGAGTGCTAAAAGATTCATCATTCTCATCATCCTGCAAAAAACAAAGTAACATACTTAGTGTTAGACTGATAGCATAAGGTTTTATGTGTAGAATTCATTCCTTTTATTCGATTCCATATAACATATTCATCATTTGTGAATTAATGGTACTTCTAATATCCTTTGGGTGCCATTAGTCAGACAATTGCTTAATATAAGATCTCTATAGGAAAGAGAAGAAAACTAACTAAATAATGTAATGAAAATGGGTACCTGTTGAGACATAGTAATTTGGAAAGATCATTTTGAAGTGTTCAATCTGCTTTCACTCGGTTGTTTCTAGCAAATACATTAACATAAAAAAATGTGTCACGAGTTTGAATTTGCAAGTTCAATATCAGAATTCTACAAAGAGCAAAATTCATGTCGAGTATTCTTTATGGTGTAAACCTTAAATCTCGTCCATAAGAATGGCTTCTAAAGCTTCGATCTCCATCTCCTGCTCCTGCACATGGTTTGTTGTGAAGATTTTAGTAAAAATGGATTTCATATCCTTTCCTTATTAATCCAATATTCATGATGCTAACAAACATGGGCCTTTTACACAGTTTAATTATGCGGTAAGGCTGCTTAACTATGATTATCCCACATTCCAAACAGTGGCAGACCTTAGTGGAGCCCGTGGGGTCCTGGGCCACTGTTCCGATTCCAGCACGCAGTGTAAAAAAATTATGTTTTTTTAATGTTTTTTCTATTAGGTGCACCGACTTAAAATACAAGTGCCACTAGTAATTTAGATTTATTAGAATTTTTTTTAGTGCCACCCCTACTAAAACATGCTGTGTGCGCCACTGATTCCAAATGACTTGAATTCCTTATTCCCATGATTCCATCACACTTAATGTACTCTACAGGCTCCTCTTAGATCTAATGGGTTTAGTTCTTGAACAACTTTTCACTCAATGATGCACTAGTAAGAAAGATTCAAAATCAAATAGTTGAAAGTCATGGACCTTCAACAAACACCAACTTCAAGTGAATACAAGAAGAAAAGTGTAATCAACGAAATAGCGAGAATGAGATTCGATTTATACGTTGCATCCGTCGATTTCTTTCAACCAAATACCCTCTATTTCCCTTTTCTATTTTCAATTCATTCCCAACTCAAGCCCGCTTCCCATTTTCACCAACACACACAGTAACTCAATCAACAAAGAAGTTAAAGATCGGGATAGGTATCACACAAAAACACAAAAGGAAAAGTAAAAGAATGACTCACTAGAGGTGGGTTCTTAAGTGGAATCGACATCAACGATATATGGTGATTGAGGAAGTAATGAATAAACGATTCACAAGAAGCCTCTAGAAGCATGGAAAACAGGTCTGATGTCCTGTAACCTATCCTTCGTTGTTGCTGGCACCTTTCGCTTTGAAAGCCCTAAAATCCCAAAACGATCGACAGTGGATTCAGAGGTTCAAGATACAAAGGTCGTGAAGATTTTTCGAGAATTCGAGGAGTGAGAAAGGAAATAAATCACTGGTGAAGGTAAAGGCGGAGTGAATAAAGAAGATACATAAATTGGAAGAAGTCTTTAACAGACAAGTGTTACTAGGAGCAAAAGCATTAGAGAGTTGAAGACATCATGTAACACAACACGTATCCAAGAAACTAATCCAAACATTGACAAAAAATAAATAAATAAATGGGTAAATTACACGAATCGTCCCTCGTCCAGGTGCCAAAAAGCACGTTTAGTCCCTATTTTCAAAAATTAACTCGAACCGTCCCTGTATAATAATTTTTTCACTCGGATCGTCCCTGTGGACATAAAATGACATTTTTACCCTTAATAATTTCTTTTTTAATTTTTCATATGTATTTATCATTTTTAGATTTAGAAAAAAAAGAAAAAAAAAAACAAAATACCCTACCAATCAACCCACCTGTCCCGGCTCCCCCTTCCCCTTCGTTTTTCCCCCTTTTCTTTCTACATCATTGAAATCAGGTCTCCAGATGAAGACCACCATCCACCACTCCATCTCTGCTTCTCCGTTCGCCGCCTGTCCACCACCGTCTAAGATCTGCACACCATTCACGAAGTCGCCGACAACCATGAAGTTGTCGGAAACCACAACCACACATATCTTCTATTTCTTTCTCTACCACCATTGTAGCAACCATCATCGCCTACATCTGTGTTCGAAACCACCACCTCCATCTGCGCACAACCATCACCGTCTTCTCCCTCACCCTCGCCTGGCAAAAACAGAAGAATGGATCTACTTTTTTGTTCGCCTCTATCTCCATTTGAAACCCTACAGCGGAGGTACATTCCGTCGGAGTAATATGAGAGGGTTCCGTGTTGAATCAAACTCGGCAAAGTTTCAACCTTAAAGAAATCGAGTCTGCCATTACTCACATCTTTGGAAAAAATCAAATCTAACACCACCTGGAGTGTAGATCTGCGAACAGGTGGTGATGGTTGGTGTTTCCGCCTCTCTTCCTTCGGCTGGTGTTTCTACAAGGCTTGGTGGTCGACGGTGGTGGCTTAAGGAACCTTGGGAAGAAGGGGGATAAGGGTTTATCAACGATGTTTTTGAAAGGAAAAAAAAAGTGGTAGTCAACTGTGGTGTGTGGTGGTCCGGCGGTGGTCAATGGTGGTGCTCAGTTGTCCGGTGGTGGTGATGATTTTGCTTTAGGGGAAAGTGGGTTTAGAAGGGAAGGGGTTAGATAAGGTGGGAGGGATGAAGTTTTTATTTTATTTTGTATATTGTTATTAATTGTAAGAAAAATAAAATAAATCAAAAATTAAATAAAAAGGGCAAAATAGTCATTTCATGTCTCGTAAGGGATGAAATGTGTAAATTTAAACTAACGAGGGATGACATGTGCAACTTTTAACCAAATGAAGGACGATCCGAGTTAATTTTTGAAAATAGGGACTGAACGTGCTTTTTGGCACATGGACGAGGGACGATTCGTGTAATTTACCCTAAATAAATAAATAAATAAAAAGTGGTCCAATAGGATCATATCACGGTTCATAGGAGAACATATGCTTTGTATGTATAAAGAATTTTTTATTTTGTATTCAATAATATATATATATATATATATATATATATATATATATATATATATATATATATATATATATATATATATATATATATATATATATAGGTTTAGGTTTAGATTATGTGGAAAACAAAAAACTATAAAAAAAAACCCTAAAAATCATAAAAATATATAAAAATATACTTAGAGATCACTAAATTTTTTTTTTTTTTGAATTTTTTTAACAAAAAATCGCAGCTTTCTATACAAATTTGCTAAAAAAAATTTTGAATTTTTTTTATTAAAAGAAAATTGATTTTTTTTTTTTTTTTTTCAGCGAATTTTAAGAAAAAGCTACGATTTTTTTTTAAAAAAATTCAAAAAAAGGTTAGTGATCTCTTTTTTTTTTTTTTTTTTTTTTTTTTGTGTTTTTATAATTTTTAGGGTTTTTTGTTTTCCAAATAACTTATCCTTATAAATTTTAAAACAACATAGACATATTTTTGAAAAGCTAAGGACACACTACCAAAATCACCAAAACAACCAATTTACTGATATTCTTAGTACCGATGTATCTTTTCATATTTTTCAATTGCACTAGAAAATTAGTTTATTTTTATATATTTTCAGGCAATCCATATTTAGTTTAACAATATATATTTATTTATATTTTAATTATAAAATTATATTTTTGCATAACCTACAAATATCTGCTTAGCATATATATAATTTTGCAAAAACAACGTTTTTTCTTTTTTCAGATTCTCGATTAAGGAGCATACATTGTATCATTTGTTGTGTGACATTTTTTATTATTATTCTGATTTAAGAACTACGTTGATATAAACAAATAAAATAATATCTGGACCAAATCTAAAAATTAATCTTAACTTAATAAACATAAACAGACATCTAAGAGAAATATTTTTATTTTATTTTATAAAAATCGATCATTATCCATGCGGCAACAAGCCCACGCGCCTAGAGGCATCTAGCAGGTTTTTAAAGGTTAACTTTTGAAAAAGTTAAATGATCTTTGGTGACATGACAAATATCTGTATTCTGTGTAGTTAATAAATAATTAATATTCTTTTTAGTGTTCTACTTACAAATACATTTATTGTTGTTCATTTCATTAAAAATTAACAACTACCGTGAGTCCGTTAATATATTTTATAATTTGTTTATCATCTATAGTACCAAATTTAAGAATCTATGTAAAATATATTGAAAGTGATAGATAATACATAAGATAAGTCATGTATATCACATGGTTAAATTTTACATAAAAATGATTCACAAATTACAAGTTTTCACATTACATAGTTAAGAAATAGCATAATACATATATTAATAATATGTTAAAGATTTCTTACATTCTTTTATAGTTAATCATATCATTTTACAGACTTCATATCACTTCTTGACTTAGTTTGATTCGCCACATCATAATTTACATATTTGACTCAAAGAAAAAGAGTTGACTTGGGCTATGAATTACCAAACTTTCTTCTGACCCATAAGCCCAATAACCTCATCCCAAAGCCCAATACTTCCCTCATTAGCCAGCCCAACTACATTTGGGCTACAAGCAGCAACAGCCCAATACCCAGCCCTTATTTCACCTCTCAATTGTTCTTTCTCCCAACCACAATATCCATCAAAGAATCTAAACTCATTCACTCCAACTACGTTCCTCTTAACCATTTCAGAAGCACACCCTACACTCTCTTTGGTCCCATAATACAACCCTTTCATTACCTCATCAAACACCCCACTATTTCTCACCCCATCACCCCCACTCACCAAGAACAACCCTTCTTCAAGGGGCCCACCAAAGAACAGTGGTCGGTCTGAAAATGTTCCTGACACGTCTAGTGTCGTTGACCGCATCTCCTTTATCGACATGAGTGATGGGCGGTTAATTATGATGCCAGTTGGGCCGACTGGACCCGTGGATAAAAGGAGCACCACTGTCTTTTCGAAGATGTGGACCCCATTTAGTTTCTCGGTTGCAATCAATAAGCAACCTTTTTCGGGTTCATGTATTGCATGAACCCATTTTTCACCTATTGGAACAGATGGTGGTTGGTTCACTGTGGTATTAGAAGAAGATTCTTGTGAGGTTAATGCTTGTTCTCCAGCTACTAATCTTGCTCTGAATGATCGCCAATCGGCATCAAGAAACATATTATCCTCATCTCTGGATGAAGGCGATGGTGAATTTGATTGGGATTGACAACCTATGGCAATAATAATAATAATAATAATAATAATAATAATAATAATAATAATAATAATAATAATAAATACACCGTATAAAAAGCCATTATCATTCATAATCTCTCCATGAGATTGTGTTAAATAAATAAAAAAAATAGTCAAAACTAAAGTAGCCAAAAATCAATTAATTAAAAAAGACAATATAATTAAAAAAGACCATATAGTTGTAAACTAAAAGATAAACATAAACCATGAACTATATTGCCCACTCGCCTTTAGGAAATCCCACCTCAACAGTTCTCATAATTTAAACAAAACATTGATGAACTTATCGATTGAGGTATGAAAATGGTTAATCACTTATTGTTTTAAACCAATTTCCCCATACTTCAACCAATTTTATGTATCTATTGTTTTAGTTTATTGCCAATTTATATTACCAATCTCGTAATGCATAAATTGGTAAAAACCAATAGCAAAGTATTGTTACACAAGTTGTTAACAAACTTGTTTTGTTGTATAAAATGGTTAAAAAAAATATATAAGTTCGTTACAAAAACAAGTGTCTAAAAACTTACATGTTGTACTAGAGCGAGTGCCAACTTTTCCAAACCGAATTCGAGAAGACAGTGTCTTGGGTTGCACAAAGATTCCGGGTTTGATCGAAGGGATGACAACTTCCAACGATTTTGTAAAGGAATTTGAAGAGAAAAAACAGGTTTCCATGTTTCTTGATTGCTTCTTCACTGAATTGGGGAAGAATATGATAGATGAAAATGCAAGTTTTTAGTCCTATATAATGGGAAACAGAATGGATGTACACCACAAGGTTGTTGTTAACCCAATCCTAAACTTGTAGGACTCACTTTTTTTTTTTTTTTTGCTAAATTGTAAGTATGGGCCAGTGGATAAACCTTTACAGGTAAGAAGATGTAGCAAATAGGAGGGTTACATGTGGACCTTTTTGTAGTTGAAGCAAACTGGCAATAATTCTGCACTTTATGTAGGATGTGTAATGTTCCTAGCCATTTAGTTCTACAAATGTTGAGCAGCTGTCAAAAACATTACTAGAGTGCAAGGTGAAAAGGTTCCCATTGGGAAAATATGTGTAATGCGTAGATATGATGTTTTTCTATGGTAGCGATAAAGTATAGTTATAATTTTTTGAACACGAAGAAATAGTAACAAAAATAAATAAATAAAATAGGGAAAAGGATAAAAAAAAAAGGAAGTATTTATATATTTAGGATTTTAACCCTTAATATTATTATTATTTTTTATATATTTTTGACTAACTAGCGATAAATGCATGAGTCTTTAATAGAAATGACAAAGTATATTATTTTACTATAATTTTACTGTATTATCTATGTATGACAAATGATATTATATTAAAATAATTTTTGTCTTAACGTAAAATTAAAACCCCGGTCAGAAAGTTACCAATTTTTTTAAAAGAAACTTCGATGAAAAAGTTAAAAAAAAAATTCTAGAAAAAAAAAAAGAAAAAAGTAAGAATTGCTTTTAGAAAGAAAATATAGTAAGATTACAATAAGATAATATTGTTTATCATACAAAAAGAATATAATAAGATTATAGTAAGATAATATGTTTCCATATATGAATAATACATTAAAATTATAATAAAATAATATTATATGTCAGACAGAGAGAATACAATAATATTACAAGTAAGATAATATTTTCTATTATATAGAAAAATACAATAAGATAAGATTTTATGTTCGATACTATTATAAGATTGAAATAAGATAATACATTTTGTAAGACTCATAGAACAAAGTAAGATTACATTAATATATTATCCTTTCTACAGGTTAAATACAACTCATGGAATAGATTGTTCTTTTTACTCCTCTCTTGGTTGGGTTTTCTATGCAAATTTACCATTTGTTTCACGCAAAGGATGTAGTTTTCATTGGTCGTCGGAGAGATTATAATTTCTCCAAAAGCGTGACCATCCTCCAATGTTTTTTATGGCATCCGGTCTTAAAATTAATATCTAGAAGTGTAGGTTGTTGGATATTGTAACGTTATCGTTTTTCATTAAGCATTTCCTAGAAGAATCATTATTTATGTTAGTAAATAATGTTATCTTTCTTATGTTAGTAAATAATATAATCTTTCTTATGTTAGTTAATAATGTAATCTTTCTTATAAATAAATAAGAATTCTTCATACATGATATGTGTTTATATAAATGTTATTTATATAATTAATATTTGAGTTTGTTTTATAAGTACAATAAATAATCTATATAAAAGTTGTAGTGGTCATTAATACGAACCCATAGATATAAAGAACGTCGAAAACAGAATCCGTATGAAGAAGTTATGCTTTTTTAAAGATACAACATATTAATCTTGTTTATAAAATATAAAATGAAAATAGATTGAGAATTAGTTGTTAATATCTAAACAAAAATTGTAGTACACAAAATTACAAAACCTATGATATAAAAAACGTTGAAAATGGAGCTTGTATGAGAAAGTTGCGATTATCTGAAGAAAACAAGAACTCAGCTGACAACAAAAAGCTCTTGGCTTTTAAGCGGCCATGTGGCAGCTGGAGAACCCTCAACCCCACCAACCACCAAGTGATGTGGCATCACCAGAAGCCGCCACATAGGACACGACGCACCTAGGGGTAGGGCCCGATGCGCTTTTCGATAAAAGTTCCCTATAAATAGCAAACCAACCCCTCATTCATTCCTTGATAATTTCGATCGGATTCTCTCTCAACCCTCAAGATTTCAGTCCCCCGTAATTTGATTTCTTCGTTCTTTAGTACTATAGTGTTGGACAATCTTTTAAGATAAAGATTCAGGGACGAAGTCACGCTCATGGAATTCAAAGTTTTCGCTAGAAGATCATGTAAGGTAATTTTCACTTACTATGCTTGTTAAGTGTAAGTTATATTGTTTTCATTGTCGTTAATAAGAACCTATAAATAAGATTTATCAATGATACTAGTTATAATATTGATTGATCTAGTTACGGACATGGTGTTTAGGCAATATCTTAGTGAGGTGTTTTAAAAGGATTTTTCAAAGAATATATTTATATTCCATATGGACCATACCTCCAGTATTATCTTACCCAATAATTCCTTATTTGATAGAACTTGGTATTCTTTGGGATTAATGAAGAATATGGGAAATAGTTAATATAATTTTGAACAACATAAATATAAAAGAATACTAAAACTTAGTACTATTTGTATTTAGGTCATTTAAAAAGGAAAACAAAAGTGTTAGACAAAGAGCTAACTTACCTGCAAATATTCCACCTTTAATAAGGTGAGTGCGTAGCTAGTTTCATGGTACACATTTATATAGACGTGTTAAATATCAATTGAATGTTTATATGCATATTGAATGCTTATTATTTGGAATATGTGCTAAGTGTATATCTGATAATACTTCATGACATGTACTGTGTGTGCCAGATATGGTCATATATTGTCTAGTTAACATGCTAGATTTATTATTTATGTTATCATGCTTAGATTGCATTTAAACTGGATAAGCATTTCAGCTGGATAATGAGTAGTCTCATACTGGGTGTGTGTGAGAGATTTGAACCAAGAGTAGAGCTCTTTTTGTGGCACTATTACGTGTCGGGGGTACTATTATGTGTTAGAGTACAATACATACTAAGTCATCTAACGGATTAAGATGACGACTATTGACTTTTTTAGAATGTCTTGTGGAACATTATCGGGTGTTCATTCCCGTAGGTATTTTATACTATATCCACCTCATGGTTGACTTTATTGACTTACGTCTTCCAAGGAATCCCATGAAGTAGAATAATCTACTCATTTTTTATAGTGATCCATCATGATAGATCTCAAAGGATCAGTGTGTGAGAATCGATGGGTTGGGTAACTAGTGGTGCATTATCATAACGATATATGTATTGTTTGATAATGTTTGTGTTTGCAGGATAAATATAATAATAATAGCGGGTTGAAAACTCCACGTGTCTCGCCAGGTTCCTAAACATGACCCACTTAAACATTTTGTATCACATGTAGCGGTACTAGGACAACTAGAAAGTAATAAGAGTGTGTTGAATGAATAAGAGGCATGTTATGCTTGTAACAAATGTTTGTGATAATGATTTTGACATCCTTAGAGCTGTATTTTTTTGACGTGATTTAATATTAAAAAATGTTTAAGTTTATTTGGGACCTTCCACAACAGAGTTCCATAAACGACTCTGTCATTTTCAAAGCATAAAAGAAAAGCTTTTTTTGAGCCTGAAATTAGGAGATGTTGGTATCATAGCATTAGTTTAAGCGAACTAGTAGTATTAGTTATTTCTAGACTTAAACTTTGATGCTAAGTGAAAATGATAAGATAAGTATGATAGCATATATTAGGATAGATGCCTAATTTGCTATTATATGCTAAATGATTTATATTATAACATGCCTTAAGATGCATACCATACTTGCTATTTGAAAATTACACACATATTATAGGAAGTTGCCTTATTTGCTACTATGTGCTAAATACACATCTAAAAATTTTAGTAAATCGATGCTCGATTCTATTCCCACTATCTATTGGTATTCTTACTAAATTAAAGTCTTTGAGGAGTAGATTCTTTGTGGGTGCTGATGAAGAAGAGAAAAAAAATATATCATGGGTTTCTTAGGATAAGGCTTTGGCTTCTAAGGAAAATGGTGTTCTTAGTGTTGGTAGCTTCTGTGTCTTAAATAGAGCTCTGGTTTTTAAGTGGATCTGGAGCTTCAAGACTCATCCAGATGATGAACGAATCCTCACGCCCTTACAGAAAATTGCTTCTACCTTACTCGAAACCCAAAATCTGAACTCTCGAGTTGGTCTGACTCCATGAAAGACCACCCATACTGAACCATCATTGAATCCATTCCACTTATCTCCCGACTGACTACTCAACTTCTGATAACTTGAGGTTCCCACTAGTTAACATAATCACATACAAATTATTGTTACTGAACACTTATACTTGACAGAAGGCTCAGATGATCCTTCAAGTAGAGGACTCATTCCTGCAACGGTTAGACTCAGACAAAAGTTGTGCAACATGGTCAAATCATTTACTCTGAGATTATTTAATCCAAACTACAAGTGACCTAACATATCCCCCGAATAACAAACAACTCCACACACGAGAACCAAATCACTAATATCGCCTTGACTTATCTCGATGCCCATTAACTGATTTCTAAAAGTAGTTGATACCTCTCTGATCCCAACATGACTTCCCACATGATTGCTGAGTCAAATACACACACAGCCGCCCCACGCGACTTCCGAATGAAAGCCTCATCTTGCAATAATTGCCCAAGCTGTCTCACCACTTATGGATCAAACTGATCATAACAGCCCGACAAACCTGACGCCACCAAGTCCAATGCTAAAAGTGAATGCTATAAGACCAACTATAGTCTTATATCACAATCAGCGTCCAACGACCTACCATTTCATGATTTCATGCATGTTGTGGTCTTCCCACAAACTTACGAACTGGCCCACCCTGGTCTAAACCATTTGAAGAAATCCATGACCAATCATATAATGAAATCCATCTGAAAATCCAAAACCCCAACTTTCCTGACCCCTACACAGATATAACCAACCCAAAACACAAGAGCCTGATCTGCCAACAAAACTGACCCTCAACATAAAGATGCCCTTATTCTTATCCCACTAGAAAGAAAATCCTGCACAAAAACACTCCCGATTCCCACCTCGAGATCTCACCCAAAAACCAACTCGATACTCAACTTATAACCTGAGATCCAGGCATCAGCACTTGCATTTTACCTAGAACATTCTGATTCACGATAACCCTCGTTAGACCGGGACATGAAGGTTCCCAAACCATCGCTGAGACTACCAGTCTCGCAC